ATATATATATATATATATATATAATGTCCTGAGATTCATCATAAGAAATCACCATAAAAGACCTATTCTATCACTCGGTATACATATTCAGCCTAAATAATAATAGCATGTTATGATGGTTGTTCTCTGAATACAGTTGTATCCGGATACAGCTGGCCTTAAATGTATGCATGCCAAATAAGAAGAGCAATATTCTCAATTCCTCATTGTAAAGCAAATATACCAAGTCCACTGTCTGATGCTGAGAATTATGATAACTACTATGACAGAGGAATTCGGACGTGGTGTATTCAACTAAGTCGCCCTGACAAGACCAAGTTGCGAAAAGGTCAAACCACTTCTATAAGTCGAAAAAAAAAACTGCGACCATACCAAGAGCCACACCATCATGGTCTTAATATCTTCGATCAAAGCTATTAGAGTTTGAGACCATATGGCAAAGCTCACCTTGTTCAACTGAAGTAGCTGTGCGCGCAGACACCAAAGACGGTGCATGGCTAGTGGCCAACCAGAAACCATGTCATCTGTCATTTCTGTCTCTTTTACATCATGCTCAAATGACGACCCAACAGCATTAGCCTGACCCAGCCAGTCAGGAAGTAGAGATTCATTGCGAACACGTTTGGAAATTATGCAAATTCCTTCATGGATTAGTTCAAGTGCAATGCTTGACTGTCTTGCCAAAGATTCGATTTCCTCAGAACGCAGGATCAGCCAGAGAGTGAGCTGGACAAGACGGTGCTGACGGGAGGCTGATTTGGAAAGGACTCTGGAGGATGGCGACGCCAGTTGCCGATAGTCTGGTGATAGACGTCCATATAGACGGTCGATGGCGGAAGGATCTGGTTTAGGTTGGATAGAGAGAGAGGCGTCTACAACGGTATCCAGCAGATCGAGTAGGCCACGAGCGTACTTGGAAGGAGAAAGCGTCTCTACGAGACTAGCGGCAATACTCAGCCGATGAATATCAACAAGTTCAGGAAGTCGTTCTGCCAAGACACGGATGTGATCAAACCAGCCAGCCTCAGCAAAACTGACGGCGAGGTCCAAGCCATCCGGATGCTTTCGTAGAGTTTTGATTAGGCTTGGTACATAGGTTACCCTGTCAGAAGAGAATATCTGGGGGGAACAGATGGCCAGCGCCTCGAAGAGCGAAATGTGGCTCAAATAAAGATTGAGTAGACGAGTTTGAATCCTGTGCTTGGCTACAGAGCTCTCCAAACCAGCTGAGTTCAATCGCTCTAACCCGAGTTCCAGCATGTGTCGAACGCAGTGCAGTACGTCAATTGAATGCCATTCTGGCGAGATCCATTCGGCCTTGGGCAATCGTGTCAAGCATTGGTGCACCACCCAAGCCGGATCATTG